GACAGGAAGGTCTGGCGCAATATGGTTCATGGGGTCACGAAGAGTCGGACACGACTTAACGACTAAACAACAACAACATTGAACCTTATGGGGAAATTTCCTTTGGGTTGCGACCAATTCGGGGTGCGACCAGAGTCACGGAACGAATTAAGTTTGTAAATCGAGGTACCACTGTACATGGTCCTCGCACTTATGACTGTCGCAGTGTCCCCGCAGTCACATGTTCAAAATTTGAGTGCTTGGTAACCAGCATGTAGTTACGATGGTTGCAGCATCCCGGGGTCACGTGATTGCCATTTGCAATCTTCCCAGGGAGCTTCCGACAAGCAAAGTCAATGGGGGAAGCCGGATTCGCTTAACGACTGCGTGATTCACTTAATGACCATGGCAACAAAGATCATAAAATCAGGTGTGACTCACATAATGATTTCATTGCTTAGTGATGGAAGTGCCAGTCCCAGTTGTGGTTGTGTGTGGAGGACTACCTGTATTTTCTACTCTGCCTCTATGAATGGTGTCATCTTTGTTCCCCTTCTCATTCTTCAGCAGGTAGTCTATACCTCCTGCAGGAATTTAGCACTCTGATATATTTTTTATTCTTCTAGAGTACACCTATCATCCTTGGAGTTGTGCTTCTTCTTAGATATGCCACTTAATATCGCTCTCTAAGTGCTGTTATTGAAAGAGTGCTTTCCATAAATGATACACTTTTCAAATAGATTTCTCAGCAGGGTAAATCTGCATCAGGCTTCAGACTAGAAGATGAGAAGCAGTTCATCTTGTCTTCTGCAAAATCTTTACCAGAAAGGTAAATGCCATTTCAAATAAATGTCTCTTCTGCATATGGAAAAAAGATGGCCAGCAAAAGCTTCTACAGGGATTCAGAGCTAGAGAGGAGGGATGGAAGGAAACCTTGGTTTATCCCATTCACCATTTGAATTAAGAAAAATTCCCCCTGTTGTGGGGCAGAAGCAAGGTTTCCTTGCATCCTGAACCCAACGTGGGAGCTTGGCAATAGGGCTGTAGAGCTGTATACTCTTTTCCCAGCATCTGCTTGCCTGCTGTATTTCTTAAAAGCTGTAAACTTTGAAGAGGTCTGTCTGGTCCTATTGTATAGCTTAGCTTTGCCCTCCCTAACAGAAAGGAGGAAAAACATGCTTCCCCTCTTTGTCCTCTCCCCTTCCCTCTGTTTCTTGTCTTTCCTTTCCTTGGCAGGGTTCAATTTCTGGGCTGCAAATTATGTATACAATGTCCAGTCTGAGAGAGAAAATGGCCTGCCCTGTGCTACAACTGATTAATGGCCCTATGATGATACAGCTGGTGACACGATAGGGCCTCTGTTCACTGTGCCACAGCTAATCTATTCTGAGTCAGCCAAGAAACGTCTCTGAAGCATCTTTTGTTCGTGAGGGCTACCGAGATGTGTATACAGACTAACATGAAACATTTGCCTTGGAGTCTCTGTTTCCAGTGGTGTGGCTTGGTGACCCAGGGAACCTTTGCCGCTGCGGGCAATAGTATGGTATTCCTTTCCAAGCACCGTTCCTGAGATTCAGCCATGAAAGGATTGATAACAGCGGACAGCGTAGTATCTAGTGCTGCTACCGGAACAGAAAGATTTGTTGGCTTTGCAACAGCTGCACCCCGCATTTGCATTTTCCTCAGATCTGTTCTGGGAGTTTGGGGAAGCTTCCTGAACAAATATGCTGCTTTCATACAATTGTGAAGGGGGTGGGGGAGATGACATCAGAGGAAATCCTGTTGCATGAGAGGAAATCTGCTGGTGTAATGTTAGGGGCAGACTTCAATCTGGATGCAGCCCTGGGATGACCTTTTGAAGCAGAGTGCACAACTTTTTTCTCTTTTAATTAAAAAAAAAGGCAGTGTCTGAAATATTAGGGGAGTGGATTTGGAATCTAAGCTGGCAGATTTGCTGCTAAACTGGTGAAACGTTCCATCTGGAAGCATGAGAAATTCAGGGAGGAGCCATATCATCTCCAGGAAATAAGGGGATCATATAGCAAGCATGATGACTTGCCTGAGCTGATTTCAGCAAAGATGGTTTTAAAAGGCCAAGTGTGATATAATGTTGGTCACAGTTTGGACCTTCCATGTTTGCCTTTTCTTTCTTAAGCAGAAGTCACAGGGAAATCCATATCTAGTTGGAACCCAGGACAAGAGAAAGTGCTTTGCCTGTCTGTCCAACTCTGGTTCACAAGCCCAGGGCTCCTGTCCTGTTTTGCAGAGAACTTCTACTGCTGTTGTTGCTGCTGCTGCTGCATACAGAACCTAGAAAGTTGCCCCAGAATGAATGAGGCCCAGTATTGGTTTATTTGCTCCAGTATTATCCATACTGACTGGCAAGTGTGTCTCCAGAGTTTTTGGGAGGCATTTTTCTGCCTCCGCCGGGCTGTACCATGGATTGATGTCCTCTACCACTGAGTTATTTTGTCCATAAATCCATAGCTAACAGGATTTGCCATCGTTGCTATAAGCCCTGCCGTGTTCACCATAGGAGTAGCAAGAGGAAAGGGAGCACTATGGAAGCTTCAGCCTCAGCTTCTGTCCGCTTCTGCTTGATGCCATTGGTTGGAGGAACAGATGTGACCTTTTCTAGATTCTTTCTAACACTGCATTGGAGCACTGTCCCGCTAACCAATCTATATGTCCACAATGCTCACCTTGTTTATTTATTTTATTTAAAAGACTTATATTCTGCCCCAATCCCAAGATTCTGGATGGTTTACAGTCATAATATCCCCAACTATTTTTTTTTAAAATCACCCTCATTAAAATATGTCAAAAATACACCCCCTCCTAAGTCACTCCAATGGGTTGGGGTGGGGGAGGAAAGGAAGGGAGATTTCCAAGTGGAACTTCATTTATCTGACATTTGATATAATCATAAAACTCCAGATGTAATACTAACTTTTTACTTGTACAGAAGGAGTGTTACTTGTAGCAGTTCCTGTCTTAATTTGCCTCACAGATTTTGTCAGACTATTTCCCAAGGATACTCCAATGGGATGCATTCTTTCCATCCACACCTGGTCTTGATATCCTCCCATGTTCCTGCATATGAGGTAAAATTTGTTTTATGGAATCTGTATCTTTCCTGTCTTTCTCCATGGGACTGAAAACCATGGGTCTTTTGTACATACAAGGAGCAGAGATGAACTAATTAGATCCAACCAATTAAACAACAGAAAATTGTTGCTAGGTCAGATAGGACAGAAGACAAGGACCCAAACAAAATGAAAATATATTTCACAACTCATTTAATATATGAGTCAAGATTGGGGAGGAGCAATGAAAAACAGAGAGAAAGGAACTTATCTAGGTCTGCATGCCATTTCCATCATTTATCTGCCTTGTGCTGAAGAATTTAAAGGCTGGTCTTCCAAGTTGGATAAGTACGTTGAACTCAGTTTGCTGATGGACAGAGCCTCCTGACTCATCTTTGTGGTGGGCATTCTTCTAATGCATAAGCAAACATCTGATATTGGAGAAAGACCATCTAGTGTCAGACTAATGAACGTTGAAAGATGCAGTTTAAAATAGGAAGAAATAGCATTCTGTTGTTTAAGCTGAGCATATACATGGAACAGTGGGGTTTGTTCCCATTCTTTCATATTCTCTATGCGATTTATTTTTAGCTTAGTGTAATATGTGAATTTGAACAAATAGTTTGTTTTAGGAGAGTAAACCATAGTTTACAACAATAGTTTTTTATTGGCTAACTGCAATTGTGGCTTATCATGAACAGGGATACATAGTTTACTGGGGGGTGGGGAGGATTATTCTTTGAATTCTTTTGGTGCCTTACCTAAGCATCAGAGGTACAAAGAAAAAGTAGCTTTAAAAGAGAGACAGAACAAACTATAGTTACTAGACTATTCTCAAGACAATAGTCTTGCTTTTTTCTAGTTTTCTATGCAACAAGTAGTGGTTAAAAATAATTGTTAATGTGACTTAGTGTGGTACAAAATCAGTGACTAGAAGGTTGGAAAGTCAGTCTTCTGCAGAAAAGCACCACTTTTGAAGTCATTGCATTGGTTATCACTAGGCTTTGGGGCTCAGTTGCTAGGGTTGGTTGTTATCTATAAAGCCCTACATGGCACAGCAACTTGTTATATTGGGTGATACCTTGTTGGAATAGAATCTGCCCACCTGGTTTGATCATCATGGGAGAGCCTATATAGAGATCCTCATCCCTTTCTGAAGTAAAAAGTGGACAAGGTGGTGGGACTTCTTAGCAGACACCCATTTTATAGAAATCTTTCCCCACAGAGGTACGTGCAGCTCCCACCTTCCTGGCTCTTTGTAAGCAAGTGAAAACAGTATAACTGAATAGGAATGGCATGATGGGTATTTTGATGGTTTTTATAGCAATCCTATTGTACTGGTTGTTTTAATTGAATCTGTTGGGAGTAGTGCGACCTAGAAAGGCTTTAAAAATCAATCAATCAATCAATCAACCAACCAACCAATAAATAAATAATATAGACCTTCTGTATAGAGTATAGGGCTCAGAATAATGGATAAATTAATTTATGGGAAGGCAGATTCTAAGAAAGGAAAGTGTCCAGAGAGTAATAGTATAATAGTGGAACCAATTCCCAGCCAGTTGGACTTGAAGATTTCAGTTATCATTTTCAACTCCATTTTTCCATGAGTAATTCATTTTATAAATATAAAGTTAATGTTTTCCATTTGTAGTCATAAACAAATGGAATGAATGTGTCATATCCAATAGCAGGAACTTTCAAATATACCACAACACAAGAATGACTTTAGACTGGTAGATTTCATTCACTGTACTATCCATGTTTGCTTTTGATTCTACAAACTATGTTCTTACTCATTAATTGCTTTTTTTCCATTTTATTTCAGATGGTTGTGGACAGTGTTAAGCTTGGAGTGGTTCTGGTAGTATATGAGCATAGTGGGACCACACTGGAAAGCCTCATTCATTCTGTAGAAAAGGCCTTGGATGGCCAAATAGCAAAGAGTATTGGGATAATTAGTGATGGAGATTCCAGAGGGATTAACTTGCTTCAAGGTAGGGTTAAGATAAAAGAATAACATTCTTGAATGGGGCATAGGATATTTGGTATTGTACTATTGCGCAGAAGAGTTAAAGTATGTGGAAATTAGTTTCCTCTGATAGGAGGACTCTGAGTTATTGGGAAACATGCTGCAGGCTGTTTTGATTTACCTCTTTTCCAGCTGATTATGGAAAACAATCTCTTCTGGAAAGGAGATAACTATATAAAATATGATTGTTAAAAGAAGTTTTTTTAATTGCCGACAACAAGAAAAACTCTGCACAAACCAGCAAATATATCCACGTTGACTACTTTTGTAGTATAGGTTTTAAAAACGTATCTGTTGGAAAGAAAGAAAATAATGGGGACGTGATTAGGGGCTGGAGGAATAGAAAACCAAACCAGATCTGAAACTGACCAAACTTCAAGATTTTAGTATGAAGCTAGTTTCTTTTGTTTCACCTCAGTTAGGGGGCAGCACCTAATGGACCTTGGTTGATCTCAAAAAGCTAAGCAGGGTTAGGCCTAATCAATACTTGGAAGGGAGACTATGAGGAAATTCCAGGGTGATAGATTTCCCTCCTACAAATTTTTTTTTTTGGTTGTTTCTTGCTTGATTAAGAGATTGTAAGATCTCCTAAATTTGCACACTTAATTCTTTTTGAGTTGACCTAATAATATTTCCCTAAATTCCTATTGCCTCCACTGAAATTCAGTGACCGTAAAGTATAGCAAGATGTATTTGACAATCATAACTTCCATAACTAATTTTCAATCATCAATCTTCCCATTTGTTTCTCTGAAACTGTATGCTTTATGTGGCTAGCAGTATAAGTGTGTAGTGGTATAAAAATGTGCTAATTTCTTCACTTCCCAGTAACTTGATTTGCTCCCATTGCTCAGTGTAAGGCATATCTCCTTACTTAGAAAAAATACAAACAAGATTTCATATAGAAGTCTAATTTGCCTTTCCTCAGTCTTAAGTTTTATTAGATTTTAATACTTCTTTTAAAACTCAATAACATAGAATGATCCTGATAAAATAAAAGAATGTTTGGGAAAGTAGGAGAGAAAGAGAGCATTAGACCAGGATAAAACACAAAGAAAAGGATTTTTTTCCCCTACTAGCCCAAGATTTAAAAACGTACAAAACTCAATTGAATATGCTGAGTGTAACAAGAGATCTTTGCCCTGAACAATGGGAATAGTCTTTATATATCATCATCTATGCAGATGGAAATTTGCAAAGGAAGAAAGGTTTTGACTAGTTCCTGCCTCAGTTTGATTAGAATCTAAAAATATACACAAAGAGGAGCAAGAAGAGGGAAACAGGATAATTCTTACACAGTTCCTATACTAGGAAAAGATGATTGTGACTCTAAGCTAATGGGATAGGCTTCAACTCATTAGTGCCACAGTGATGCTGTGCCCATCTTACAACTTCTTAAAAAAATAATAATAGCCATAGGAGTTTGTGCAGCTGAATGAGTAAAGACAGGAAAATCAGAGTCTGGCATGTCTGGCATACATCTTCTAGGAAGAGGTCTGGCAGAGTCTGGCGTACATCTTCTAGGAAAAAAAATGGAATTGGTGCAAACTTCCTGATGAGGTATAATAGTAGAATCTTTTTATTGTCCAAGGCAGTTGGGACAATAAATATTGTCCATTCACCTTAAATGCATCCTTTCTTTGCTTAATTGTATCTAGGTTATAAAATCAACACTCAAAATCTTCTTAAACCTGAGGTGAGAGAGTTTTGGAAGTACTTAAAAAGTTGCATTGTCTCTCCAGAAGAAGGTGGAAGCATAGACCTCTTTGTTCCTCTGGCGGCTTCAGGTCAGTCCAACTTGCCACTCAGAAAGGTTGGCATCTTTCCCTTTGTTTCCAGTAGGCCTAATCAGAAAGGAAACCCTTTTGACTTGCTTGGGCTTCAAAGAAGCTGCCAGATGTTACGCAACAGTGAATTATGTGGCTACAAACTATGGATGTCTTTGCTTCTTTCCTCTTCCTTCTCTAACCCTTTTCCTTTTGTGTTGTGCCTTTTAGATATTAGCCAGAAAGTGGGGGTTATAGCCACTTACTCATGCTTTCAAGTCATTTCCACTGTATAACCGGGGCCATACGCAGGTCAAAAAAGTCAAGATGTTGGCTGTAACCATTTGATTGAAGCCCCAAACCTTTTGTGTATATGTGAGTGTGTTGTGATTGCCAACTTTTTTGCCCCCTCCCCCCAGATACCCCTGAGTCTAGCTTCATTTAATTTAAGCTTCTCCTGGACAAACACTTGTGCTATCCTCGGTTGTATCAGAATTGGCCATCAAGGGCCAAAGACCCAAAGTATGGTTTGTGCATCACTTTCTTTTCCCTTTCAGATTAAAAAAGAAAGAAGTCTTCAGTGATAGGAAAAATGTCTAGAAATCTAATTTTCTGTTATCCCCTAGCTTTCTCCTCCATCCATTTATAGGAAGAGTCTTTATCACCCTGTGAAATAATAAAAAATTATCATGGACCATTTATAGAGAATCTCATCCCACCTGCTAACCTCCATATTGTTATCATACAAGATGGAGCTCTGTGATACAGGCTCAGAGTCAAAAGAAATAGCACAAAAGGATAATAAAATATCAGGAGTGAAGAGAAAACAAAAGGCACACACTTATTAGAACAGTATTCTATCGTATAGTGCAGTATTAATGCAGCATCAGGGGTTGTGCAATATGGAATGTGAAGGTTGTGGAAGGTTGTGTTATATGTGTTTTATGTGTGTTATGTGTTTTATGGTTTTTATATTTTTAAAGCTGCACTGGGGTGGCATTAATTTCGTTGTACAAGTTGTACAATGACAATAAAGATTTCTATTCTATTCTATTCCAAGTAATTTTTTTCCATGATGGGACATAGCACAGGATCTCACTGTGAATATACTCTAGAAGCGGGTAGGGATGCTGTGAGATCACATAACTGGTAAAGGACAGATCTCCTTTGCCTTGTTCTTTCAGACAGGCAATAAAGTTAAATTGGGAAAAAAGTAACACCATATTTCTTGTAGACTACTGATTGCTCAATACAGAGGATGTGTTCTCCTACCTCCAGGAGGAAGAGGCACCTGGATTAATCCACGCTTAGGCTGATGTTCATTTTAGTGTTGTGCAAATGCTACATTCTACATTTTAAAAGATTACTGTAATCATTTTTCAGAGGCAGGAAAAGAGATCCTTTTTCAACTGACTCGTCTAACTGGGGCATTATTCAGGACTCCTACTGGAATAGCAACTGGGTCTTATCAGCACAGTAAGTGGAGAAAATTCCTACATACCTGGGAAGATCTACATCAGTTATTTGACTGCTAGCCATATTTTAAATCAGCTACATCCCATCTCATTTTCCCCAAAGCTGTTGGGCCCAAGCGGAAGCCTCAGCAGAATAAATATATACCTTAGATTTTTAAGGGATGGGATTGCTGATAGATTGCAAGTGAGCAATGACACTTGTTGGCAAAGAACTGCTGCCAACCAGAAACTGCTGTATCAAGTTTAAAGAATCAGTGATCTGACTTGGCACAATAAACAGTTGCAAACAGTATTTTGTAATGGAATCCTCAAAGAATCCAAACAAGTAGCAGCAGGTTCTTCTAGATCTCCTTAGCAATACAAAGAGGACAATTAAAATTGCTGGATCAACTATAAAATGCCATTGTAAAGCAACTCTGTCTGTTTGTTTATGCATGTGTGCTCTCACATGTTACCAAACTGCAGGATGTCTAAGCAATAGGTTTTGAACAGGGGAAAGAAATAAATTTAACCACCTCTTTTATATACAGCATTGCTTTATTTTCCAGGGATTTTTAATATAGGAAACAAAATAAACAGTTTCTTATCTGATAGCATTATTAGCTCTCCCCAAAAGTCTTAGCTATTCTGTTTTTCTCATCTGTATAAACATTGTCTTGGGACTAGAACATAAGGAATAGTCCATGGGCAGGAAAATGACTTTTGTATTATTACAGTCCTCAGTGAATGGCTGGGAAATCAGAAAGCAAGCTCTCCTCCATCCCTCTACCTCAATGAAGTAAAAGTGCAGATATGGCTCAGATTCACCGAGCTATTGGAAGAGGCACTGAATGTGGTCAGGAAAAAGCTGAGTCCATACTTTTCTGATTTGCAGAAGAACATGGCTGGCAAAATTCTTGGTAATTTTTCTCATTCTGGCCTTCTATGTATATCTGAAATAAGAATTCCATTGCACATTGTAGAATTTTTGCCAGTGCAATAAATACATCCCTCCTTAGCAGTGGTGCTTAGTTTTTTTATTACAAAGATAGATGATCTTTTCTAGCCTGGGGCTGCACATTATATACGTGGGGATTTTTTGTGGGGTTTTCTTTTGTATGTGTGCGTGCATGCCTTCAAGTCAGTGTTAACTCCTGACAACTGACTGGACACGTCCCTGCAGTTTTGTTGGCAAGGTTTTTCAGAAGTGGTTTGCCATTGCCTTCTTTCTAGGGCTGAGAGAGAGTGGCTGGCCCAAAGTCACCCAGCTGGCTTCGTACCTCAGATGGGATTAAAACTCAGAGTCTCCCGGTTTCTAGCCTGAAGCCTTAACCATTACACGAAACTGGCTCTCTCTATTTGTGTAAAGTCTTCTTATTGTTCAGCTTGCTTCCCATTCATATACAGTCAGGACCAGTAATATTGGAACAAGGATAACTGTTTTGGCATTTGACCTCTGAACACCATCACATTGAAGTTGAAAGGAAACATATCCAGATGGGAGTGAAGTCAGGACTTTCAGCTGTAATTCAAGGGGTTTGACAAAAGTGGGGCACTAACCATTCAGGAAGTACAGCCAGTGGCATACACACATCCCCATTGTTGGTGGCTCATAAGTAATGGAATGAATGGCTCACAAGCAGTTGTATGGCCAGGTGTGGCCTGTTTCCTGGGTACCCCATGACCAATCAAGCAGATAAAAGGCCTG